CTTTTATTGATCAACCCCCGATAACATCATATCTCATGTTTTACTCCAATATTTTCTTGAAATATTATTAATAATATGACGTCGTTAAAATATTAATTGTTGCTCGTATATTTTATAAAAACTCCACATKTTCTTGAATAATAAATATTTTATCAAAATAATTAAAATAATAGCTTGCAAGGTAAATAATGTATTGTGACGAAAACGTCTCGTTTAAGATTTGCAAGTAAATAAAGGTGACAACATGTCACACACGTATAAATAACGGTCATCTCATAATTTTAAAGTTCAACATAATTAATACTCGAAATAATGTTTARAATACCAATTTTCCAAGTCTAGGGGCATTTTGGTAAATCATAAGAAGCCGAATACCAAAGGTATARCTTTAACCAATTYCCTAATTTAGAACATTYTTGATATATTTCAGAAGTCGAACATTAAAACGGTRTTTAAAAGTCCAATCYCAAGCATAGGGGCATTTTGGTAATTCTATTAAGCAATACTCAAAGTATTGTTAAAATACCGATTCCCTAATTGTGAGGTCATTTTGGTAATTTCATAAAGATGATAATCAAAATAAAGCATAGATACTAATTCCCAAGATATAATGTCATTCCGGTAATTTTATAAAGCAAATACGTAAAGTATCGCTAAAATACCAATTTCCACATTGTAGGGTCATTTTGGTAATTTCATAGAGATTAGATTTAAAATAACACTTAGATACCAATTCTCAAGACCTTGGGTCATTTTGGTAATTTTATAAAGCAAATACGTAAAGTATTGCTAAAATATCGATTTCCAAATATATGATCGTTTTGATATTTTTATAAAAATAATAAAAAAATGAAGTTCATAGACCAATCCCCAAGACATAGGGTTATTTCAGTAATTTATGAAGCAAATACGTAAAGTATCGCTAAAATACCGATTTCCCACTTATAGGGTCATTTTGATAACTAAATGAGATAAATAATTGAGATGGGGTCAAAGTTTGTATTTTACAAAATACAAGCAATCTTAACGAAAGTTTTGTAAAATTTATGTAGAGAAAATTATATTGCTGAAACTGTCGAATGTATACTGCATATAAACAAAATGGACGCATACAAARTAACAGATTACGTGCGTAGCCCACTGGTTAACRTTTGAGCCTTCAAAGCTGAGGTCGTGGGTTCAAATCCCGCYCTCAGCTCGCGCGCCTTTAACCCCTTCTTTTTAACAGGTGACCCAGCCGAAAACAGCAGTCATGGCTGCTCGTTTTCGAGCTTCAAAATTGCTCGTTTCTTGACCATTTTTCTTCATTCTTTTTGCGCCAAACTTTTGGTAATATTTTTACCAACACTTTGACATAAAAAACACGAATTTTCGTCAARAAATGAGTCTCATTTACTCATTTAAAGTTTGATTTTCAAACTAAAATTTAACAACTTAAAAACATAAAAATCGAACAACGAAAACACAAATATGAGACATGAGGCTACTGGGGTTTGATAGAGTACTTAAAAACGAAGTCATAGACATAAAAATCAAGATATTTGGTTAAGAATCTCACCTAAAATCGGTGAAAAACCGAGATTTTCGATTCCGAACTTCAAACTCAGATTTCTCTCTCAAAACTCAACGATTTTTCGAGCTATTTGAACCAAAACGTTCCTAAGCCAGAGCTCTACAATTTATATGCCAAGATTTTTGGCTTATTAGTTGAAGAAATCGGACAAATCATGAGTTTTAAGCTGATGGGTCGTTTTCTCAAACAGTTATGTACTTTTGGCAAAACAGGTCCCTCATCTTTGARAAARATGACATTTTCTCCTCAGAACTTTCTGACATTTACCCTCAGCCCCCTGATTTCACTATTTTTAATAAGACTTACACTTTTTACCCCTAAATCAATATTTTATTTCGATTTTGGTCATTTTTAAATTTTAAGATTTCGACAATTATTTCCTTTAGTTTATTACGTAAAGATTTTAACACTTCAAATAAATTAAAATATATATATATATATTTAAAGGCTCATATAATGTTATTTATATATTTAAAAAAAATGGGTTTTACAACTCTCCCCCTCTTGAAAGAAAATTCCGTCCTCGGAATTTCTACTTAATTTTGCCATACTTATTTTTATCTTTATTTCATATTTCTTCCATCATGAGAGAATCTTTTGGTCACTYAATCTTATTCTAATCATCTATTTATTTTAGTCTTACATGCATGATCAATTCGCACTTATTATAGCTTAATCCTCTAATGTCCATAMTAWCAAWTGAAYCTCAAATTTTCAACCATTGTTTGGTAACACGTCAATAATATGTCTAGTAATCAAAGTATATTTATCACCAATGATAATCTTTAAATTGTGACWAGGTAACTCAACTAAAAACAATTSAACTTAAGGCATACGACGAGTTCATTGGCACACAAAACTAATAAATTCATGCTTAGGTATTCGATAAATAGCAAAGTACCTGACACCACGCATGGTGCAACCTATGCCTCCTCAGCGGTCATCTGAAAGACTCGTCCCTTGGTTTTAGGCACCTCGGGTTTCTTGCCGTTCGGTCTTTCAAGCAACTTCGGTTGCACAAGATCCTTTTTGGGACACTCATTGGAGCGATGTCCGACAGCCCCACATGAGTAACAAGTAAATCTTGTTTTGCATTCCTTTGACATATGACCAGGTTGCCCACAACTAAAACATACTCTTTTACCATACATACATTCACCATGGTGGAATTTTCCGCAAGTGACACATGCGGTCGAAGTTCTAATATTTTCTTCCGAAACTCGAATTTTYTTGGACTCGTTAACATTGACAGCTTTCCTCTTCAATATCTTATTAGAGGCATCTGGGACATAACTATCCTTTTCAGCAAGGGTGACAAGTTCAACCGCCTCTTGAAAGGTCTTAGGTTTTGACATTCCCACTAATCTCCTAATGTCCCTTTTTAGTCCATCAACAAATCGATAAATTAAAAACTAAATATATTTAAAGGCTCATATAATGTTATTTATATATTTAAAAAAATGGGTTTTACATAGGAGAACACCGGACAACACTCGACCGGTTTAGGATGATATCTTGTGCAATTAATAATATACCAGTTCAAAAAGAGATTGAATCATATACATATGATTAATACACAAAGCATGAAGTAATTACAGTCACCTTTGCTTTGAATTTGGCTTATAATGTCTTAAATTTCTTCACACTCTTTTTCTCCCAAGTTTTTGTCCAAAGAAAAAGAACCTTTTCTTTCAAAAGCACTTGCTATAAATAGCAAGTGCTTTAACCGCCATTTTCCAAAACAACATACATTCACACCCACCATATATATACTTATATAATATATATATATATATATATATACTTATAAAATATGAATACTTTCTAATTTTTTAGAAAGAAAACATTACACCAAATATTAAAGGTGACATAATCAAATTCTAGTAAATGATGATCTTAAGATCATGGGAAATTGTTATCGCATCAGTGTGATGCGATGAGGTTGATTTTTATCGCATATGTGTGATGTAATGAAATTGGTATGAAACTTGGAGTGTTTTTGATTGCATCCTTGAGATGCGACATGTTGAGTTTGTCGCACTAATATGGTTGCATTACATATGTGGAATTTTTGGAAGCTGTTATGTTATTTGTACTTGAGAACTTGTTATGTTTAAAAGTCTTGTACTTGGTGTATATAAAAAAAAATTGTAGCTACTTTTGATTGTAGCATTTTGTATATTTGGGACCAATGTGTAAATTTGTATTTCATATCAAATGAAATATGTTCATATTCAATTAACCAATTCGCAAAATTGACCAAAAGTATGAGCAAGTCGATATAAGCTTTCAACACTTTAACAACTACAAGTAGATAGTTCCGATCCATTCTACATAAAAAAAAATGAGATCGAGTCATTATAAAATGTTCCAAAAATGAGATGGAGTCACTATAAAATGTTCCAAAAATGAGATGGAGTCACTATAAAATGTTCCAAATATATTCATCAATATGCATATATTCACTATAAAACACAGGATTCGGAACATCCAATATGCATAAATCAAAGAATGATTTTGTGTCTGTGTAATCTCAGTAGCATAAATCAAGTAGCAAATTTAACCAGAAACAAATAAAAGAGGTAGGCATGACCAGTAAGACTACAAACTTTCTGGATTCCTTGGATGTTGAAGCTATGGCGTTGATGCAGGGGGCAATGGGTTCCAAATCATAATGGTATATGGGAACAGCCGATTAATAACAAGGAAGCTATGGTAATGGTATATGGGCAGTGGTATATGTTAGCTTCAAAAGATTTGACCAACACTAGTGGGTGCGTTTGGAAACAACCGATTAATAACAAGGAAGTCGATATAAGGAAATAAAGAGTATGGAAACAGCCTATTACGCACGAAATCGGGAAATAGTCGATTGAAATCGTCGATTGAAACAGTTGATTGAAATCGTTGATTGAAATCGTTGATTGAAACAGTTGATTGAAACAGTCGATTGAAACAGTCGATTGAAATCGAGAAGAGAAGCAACAGCGTACCTGAGTATGGAGAGAGGAGAAACACCGATTCGAAGTCGCCGATTCGAAGTCGCTGTTAAGAAGTCGCTGATTCGAAGTCGCCGTTAGAAGTCACCATCGATGGAGTTGAAGGAAGCGATGAAGGCGGATGAAAAGGGGGTTAGGTCTTCATGCGATGAGCTGGGTAGGGGAAAAGGGTAATGTGGTAAAAAAATGTTGAGTTCCACTTAGTTCTAAGGGGGTATGGTTGAACAAGCGTGTCCAACTTAGTTCCACATAAAGCCACACCAAACATAGGACAAATGTGTTCTGTCCTGTCTTGTCCCACCCTGTCCAGCGTACCAAAAGCACCCTAAAGGACTAAAATAGCGAAATGAACTTATAGATTAATGAATGGGCATGGGTCTAAGTGTTCCTTAAGATAAAATCAACAATAAAATGGTTAGAATCTTATGAGTTATTTATAAAAATTCCACCCTCTCGAAAGTGAAAATTTCCAAACGGTCCTCATAAAATTCCACAAAGTTCTTAGGCTCACCACTTCGAAACTTGCCGATTTAGCTAAAAAGAAGAAGAAATAAAATCTATACCCAAATCTCTTTGTGATAAGAATTACCATCGCTTAATACTTAGCTAAATACATACAAAATTCACATCTCTACGTAATTATCAAAGACTCTCTCAAGTTCTTTGTGCATCACTTAAGTCGTATTTCGGATCTGTCCATCTCTGGGTCTAAAATCTAATATTAACACTTCAAAGTGATTTGCTTATCCGCGTCGTGTTTAAGTCTCGTCTTAAGTGACCAAGTTACGAAGTGGTAAAAAGTAAAAGCACTCAAATATTGTATAAAAATCTCAAGTTAAACTCACACCCACACCCATACGAGTAAATTAGCTCATAATAGACATAATAAACATAATAGAAGACATTAAATAAGACTGAAATTTAACTTGCATTAATATAAAACTAGAAACATATTACAACTTCAATACAAGAAAATAAAATGCTAAGCTAAAACTAAGATAAGAAGAGAAGAACTTCCACTAAAATAGTTCTAAAGATGAGTAAATAAAATGAAGATAAAGGGGTGTGTTCTTCAAATGAGTTTATATAGGGAGAATGGAAAAGGATAAAGTCTTTATCTAAAGGAAATTAAGTATACAAAAACCTTGAGGCAAAAACCATTAAATAACAAATTAAAATAATACAAGGGTACAACTTTATAGTCAAGTACATCTGGAGGACATCTCTGGGCAAGATCTTCAAGCAATACATCCTCCAAAAAGTAGAAAGCTAACAAAATTCGTGAACATTCCACAGTGGTGACACAATAGGCAGTTGCCAGAAAATGCAGGTTTTCGAAATAAAATTTATTCCTTTGTGTTTCATCATCTTTTTAAAACTTTTAGAATAAACGGGGAAAAACAAAGAAATTGGGTATTTAATAATTGCAAAAATAAATGAAATAAATAAAAAATAACTCTAAAAAATGAGAGTTATCACTTCCATTAGAACTTCCACGTATCTAATTTGAGGAAGTGCCTAGCTAATCCTGAACTAGTCGTACCATTACCTGAAATTCAAGTGGATGAGAAGCTCAATTTTATTGAAATCCCGAAGGCAATCACCGATTATAAAATCAAAAGTCTAAGTGAAGGTTCAATGATGATATCACATGGGTCAAGAGGCTACCTCGGAACTGCAATCTGTTATGAGAGAGAAATACCCAAGTTTGTTTGAATAACTGAATTCTATGACAAAATTCATTTAAGAGGGAGATGTTATAATACCTTTGGTCTTCTAGTAATGAGCATGGTCTAGAATTTCAGGGATGGTTTGTGCTAAATACTTATTTTAGAGGGTTGGTTTTAAAATATTGGAAAACCCATTTAAATGGGTTTGTTTCTTTTAAAGTTCCTTCCGGTGTCTTCAAAAGTGTGGTGTTGTGTACGTGTTTTCATGGGAGATTTCAGCAAGGAGGAGAAGAGATTTAAAAAAAAGGGTTTTGAGTAGTTGGTGGGTTTCTATGAATTCCCAGGTATGTGCTAGTTTCCCAGGTTAAAGTTTATCATAGCGACCGTTTACTAAACACTTATCAAGTAAGTGTTTATCGGATAAACTTCCTTATCAGATAAACATGATTAGGGCCAAGAATTTTACCGGGTAAGAGTGAAGAGAATGATTGAGAGTCTTACCCAGTAAGTGAAGATTACAACACTTACCCGATAAATTGTGTTGCATTCAATACGTTTGGATGTATTAAAATCTTACGCATCAAAATAAATTATAGTGTTTTCCTATAGATAAGCACCGATCAGGTAAGCATTTGGGTAAACAGCCCCTAGTTTGGAATTTTTTTTGGTTTGAGCTTGATGTTTTAGGTCAAAATTCTATGGAGGAATTGGATTTTTGAGTTTGGTCTGAAGTTTATTCGGTTTGATTTAACTCCTAATCAAACTTTTGTTACAAGCTGATTTTGGGTCTTGGTTCCACGTTAAACTATCAATGTGGAGTTTGGGCCGGTGTGGCTGACGTGTATGTGACACAGTGGTGTTTTTATTGATGTGGTGTATGTAACGGAGTTGTGCATATATAACAATGGAGTTGAGCTGATTGGGCTAATAATGTTTAATGGGGATGTTAAGTCAGTATATCAATCTTATATGTACTTGACTTACATCTTTTGAAAGTTATTATTTGTTTAATATTTTGACAGATTGATACCTATTGGCTCATACGATTTGTACTAACAAGGATTTCTTTACTAGACCTTATGGTCTGACCTTCATTTTGTTTTTAAAATTGTGTATTTCAGGGCAGTTACATCTAGAAGACAAAGGGAAAAGAAAGATGTGATATTTGGTGACTGATATGTACACGTGATGCTTATATGTGGGACTGGGGTTTTATGAAACTGTTGTGTACATGTTGTGTAAGAAGAAGTTTGTAGTAACTTTTAGTAGTTTTAACGATGTGTTAACTTTGGGAGCAAGGTGTAGGATCATTATGAGTTGTTATACGTAAAATATGTGATATATGTGATGTTTTTGCGGGTTGTTACAACAACTTTTAACACTTTTTGGTCGGTTTCATAAGTCGAACATGTAACACGTTTATGTTCAAATCTCTCAACTCAACTCGACACTATGATGAAATTAGGTCATCGGATGCCATAGTTTTTCTATTAATTCTTGTATTGATAAAGATATTGTTATAATTAATTTGACTGTATAGATTGATAGTTTTTTTTTTCTTTAGGAAGAGTTTTTTTATAGATAGAGGGAGCATGTTTTTTAATTGGGATGCATAGGTGTTGGGAAAAAAAACTTATTATAAGCTTTCTGAACAAGTCACTTTCTATATCATTAAACCACTACCAAACAATCATGTATAACCAACCAAATAAGTTGCGAGTCTATTAAGCTACTAATAAACAGACCCAAGTGTCCGAACAAACTATTCTCATGTAAAAAAATTGAGCATAACCCTTGACTTCAAAAATATTGTAAAAACTTGTTAAAATGTCCAAAAACGTAAGGACGAAAACTTATTGCAACGATTTTACATAGTCGAGTAGTTAAAAGGTCAGATTACTATTTAAAAGTTGTAGTTAAATCACATTACTAAATACTAACCCATAGATCTGAAAAAAGTTTTCCAAGTAGAAACAACTGAAATCCTGTACAAATATTACACCAATCCAAACATTTATAACTTCACCACGAATGGCGGTTTCCCCTTCTCATCCTTCTTCTAAACGGCCGGCAAGCCTCAATACTCAGATCGACGGCCACCGCTAGCGCCATAAAAATGGCAGCATCTTCCACACAAGTTACATGTCTCATTGCCAACTGAACAACTGGTTTCCCCCTCTTCCCTTCTCCCTGAACCCTGCAACTCATAACGAACCCGCCAGCCGCTGGACTTAGACCTGCAAAATCGCCGCTGCTTTGTGGGCTTGGAATGTTGGAGTTCGAGCTAGCCTGCCGGTCTGTGTCTATCAAGAACTCGCCACCCCGTTCAGCGTTTATGAGTATTTCCGACATTAGCAGCTCTCCACCATCTTGGCCGTCTGATAAAAGGTGGAAACGCACGAAAATGGAGTCTCGGATGCTGCCACGTTCACGCCAGGCCTCGAGTTTGCCCCACGGGAGCCAGCTTTCGGGTCGGAAGGCGTCCGGACGGACGATCAACCATGAACCCGGGTTCGATCGGGCGACCCAATCGCAACCGGTTGAAGGGACAAAGGGCGTGGTCATGAATGCGGCTGCTACAGCCGAACCTGACAAATCGTGTATTTTCACTTTCCAACCCTTTCTTTCTCGTCTTTCGGGTTCTTGATCCAGGTCATCACCGGAACTCGACCAGTAGTTGTTCAATGGATCTACCTGCGGCACCCTACATGATTTACAACAAAAAGTGGACGACTCGAGTTAAAAACCAGCATTATGTTAGCAACCATAAACTAACTTATTTTCTTATAATAAAGAACTATATTTCAGACAGTTCTTTAACAAGTTTCAAGAGTTCTTTTTTTACTTCCAATTATACCCTTATGTTTTACATTGTTCTCTTATTAGCTAGTTCGACAACTTTTATCAAACCCGACTAGTTTATCACCTATCAGTTAGCTTATCAATTAACCATTTATCAACTAACAACTAGTTTATTCGGCAACATTTAGCTTTTCCGCCAACAACTAAATTACCGATCAACAGCTAGCCAGCCGATGACTACAACTAGCTTATACGCCAACAGTTGGCTTATCAAGCCAAACAGCTAGCTTATCAAGTCAAACAGCTAGCTAGCTTCTCATCCAACCTAGCCATTGTATTTGCACAAGTAAATTCACCTGTCTTGACTAAATTTGCAACTGAAAATCGGCTGCTTAATGTTCCCTTGAATCTGAACAATCTGAGGACTCAATTTCGTTTCATCTTCGAATTGAAAAACATATCTCGGATCCGGATCCAACTTGACTCTCAAATGTAGCTCCGCTACAAATTTCCCGGTCTCTTGTTTCATCTTCCCGATACCCTTCCAACCACTAAAAAGAACGATGGGCTTACCTTCGCCCCATTCCGGACCCACGTCCAATTTAAACGTTCCAACCTGTTGTCGTTTAACCCCAACCCCACAGTGGGAGCCCTTGCGACCCGTGAAGACAACGATTTCTAGACATGCATGCGGAGTATAGAAACACCCGGGCTCCAATAATGCTTTTAAGTCGGATTTTTCTAGATAAAAACTGGAGGCAATGTTATGGGAATCTAGTGTAGCTTCAGGAGAAGATAAGAGTGGGATTGTTGCGATTTGAGGTGGATAACCTCGGAGACGAATTTCACATGTACATGGAGACGAGAAAGCGTGGATTCCTGGTTTTGTGGATTTCTGATGCGTTTCTGGATACCGTAATCCGAGTGAACCTATTGACAACCTGATAAAAGCTTGAGGATCCATTCTTGTCACAAGTAATTCCCCATCGAATCGTCAAGAAATTGAGAGGTCCAAACCTGTGAGATTAACAGCATAAGATCATCAAGAATCTCTAGGGTTTCGGGTCGTGATTCTTGCAATTCTAATAGTAAAACTATTCGTGTTTTCAACATGATCAAATCTAAAGAACCGAAATTTTCATACTTCTTTCATTACCTTTCCTCCCACATTCCACATTCGGGAGGAAAGTTATCATTCATTTTCCTTCCCTTTTCTCCTAAAAAGTTTCGAGAGCACAAGTTCATAAAAAAGGTTCCGAGAACACAACGCTAAAGCCTTAGAACCCTTAAAAAAACAAATGTTGAAAACAGGGCATCACTTCAAGATCAAGAAACAATAATGTCTACATTTGATGAATCAAGAATTGCAAAATCTTGAAAACAGCATCATCTCATTGAGCAATTATAAGCTTTTAAAGAGTAGCATCCTGAGCAAGTTTCTTCACAAAATTGCAGCTTCAAACTTTCTGATTAATATGCAAACAACACTCAATTCCACTTCTTTCCTTTTGTTACCCTTTTGATAGCATTATAATTCACAAAGGTTAAGCTACAATTTACTATTAGAAAAAGGCAAACAGGAACAAAATCAAACACCCAAGAACAGAAGCTTCCATTTTTGCAGAATATGATGAGAAGCAAACCCAAGAATCATTTGAAAGAGAAAGCAAGCTAAAATGGTCTTAAACCCCAAACCCCAAATCCAGTCTTTGATTCTAGTATGCCAAAATGGTTTAAGTTTACCTCTGGATATCAACACCTTTTGACTTTTGAAACTCAAATGAAATTGATCTTAGACTACACAGAATGGAATTATAACAAAATCAGCACCAAAAACAGAACATTTTGAGTGAGAAATTGAAGTCATTAGTGTAAAAATGAATTTTAGAAAGTAAATAAATATAAATTTTAGAACCAAAAAGGAAAGAGACTGCAGTTATGGGAAAGAAGGTTGGCAATAGAAACCGCCCAAAAAAATTAAAGGAATTTACCTTTTACCATATCAAATTCTTCTGTTTCTCCCAAACCCCCAAAAAGCAGGAGGAACAGCAGCTTTTAAACCTGCAATTACTCCAATCCAAAGAAAACAAACCTCCAGAAAACTTCATTCCATTTAGTTACCGAGTTCTTGAATCACACACACTCTTTTTTCCTTCTGTAAACGATCAAATCTTTTATAATGTAAAAATCGATCTTGGAAGATGGGTATGATCAATAATTGAAGTAAACACCAAACCCACCAAGAAAGTCACGTAGACTTTGCACAGATCACGAGGAAACCCATATAAAAATAGTATATCTGGGTGTGTAAATTTGAAGAGTATATGTATATGTATATGTATATGTATATAAATATATGGATATAGGATATATGTCTGGATGAATGTATCTAAGAATTTTATATATTGTAAAGATAATCACCGAATGAACATGTGAGAGAGAAGGGGAGAGAGAAAGGATACGGCTGCATCTGAATTATTTTGGGAGGAAATAGACGGAGGAAGTGAGAAATTCACTATTTTGTTACTCTTTTTGCTTGCTTACTAAACACAAAGCACTTAAGAAAATGAGAGAAAAGGTGGAAGGACAGAAATTTACATAAAAGGCTCTTAACTTAGAATCTATTTCAGTTTGGTCCTTTTACTATATTTTTTGTTTTTGCAGCTTTAGTTTAAGTGGGAAAGGAGGTGAGTATCGGTGTAAAATGAGTGGGATGTCGAGGGTTTGGCTTCAAGTACCACTCGTTGCTTTTGTGACACGTATTTTACCTGTTCGTGATGGTTGTAGGATTGGTATAGTGTGGATGCTTCAGAAGATGGCGGCATACCCTTTATGTAGAATTAACAAATTCATATGCTTATAAGCTAAGAGTTATTAAAATTTGAATGTTAGGTCGATGTCTATTTGTTGTAGTAATAAAGTAAGAACTACTCGGAACGTATTTGTAACTATTTTTAAGAACGTGAAAGAATATGCATTGGATGTTAAAAATTAATTTCATGACTTCTTACTGTAAAGGGATAAATCTTTGTTAGAATGCTTGTTTCTTCTCAAAGTCTACATGCCAACGGTCTTCATGTAAGGTTCATAATAAGATTCTTGAAAGATGTCAAGACCAATATCAGTGGTATTGAGTTTTAATAGTCTTTTATGTTAACAAAATCAAAATATAAGGTATCAAATATAAAACCGTCGATCTTTACCAATTACAAGTAGAATAACAAATTCAACTCCAACATGGCAACATCAAGAAAATGGTTAATTGTAATGAAATGTGACATACTTCATGTTTAGGTCTCATGGTTTTAAAAGGAAAATTTGAGTTTCTATGCTTAAGGTACCCCTAACATATATAAAAATATGCTCCAATATTCAACTCTTGGAAAACTATGCTTGCCCTTTTTTATATTAAAGGTGCTATTCCCTTCTCTTTATTGTTTATTCTTACCAACTCTTTTTTGATCTTCGACTCTCTCTCTCTCGCGCGATTGAGCTTCTTCCACATCCTAAACCAACTACAGCCACCCAAAATACTGGGCATCATCATTATGTAAGTACATTGTTAGGTTGAAGATAAATACTTCAAACTAGATAATCCATTTAGCTTCATAAATGCTTGATAGTCATCTGATACTAGTTCGACAACACCTGATAGTGTTGCTATCTTTGAGTGATATTAATTCAATAGATTTTTGTTAATTTAATTTTGGTGCATCGAGTTCTAAAGTCGACGTGTCTGCTTCATACAATGATGTTTAGCAATGAATGGTTATTATTGGATTTACATAAAAAAAAAAAAAAAAACCAAGAGTGATTGAAGCTTTACATTAAGAACCTATTTAGCTATAATTGAGTATATATAATCCAAAAGCTAAGTATTAGGATTTATTAAAATTTTATACCAAGTTAGGCTAAAAGCCCACCAACCTAGCCATCAAGGTGTTGCGGGTTTCCCAACGTTAGCCACATGGCTAACTTTGTGTGTTCCCCCTAGCTTGCGGCATTTAAAGGTTCGAGAACTAGGTGGACAGATGGATCATCCAAGACTTTAGAAGGCTCATCCAAGGCCTTAGAAGGACCACCGAAGTAGAGGTGGAACCCAAAGTGTTTTTCAAATGGTGGCACCATTTGATAAAGGTAACAAAAATTAACTTTTTCATGAGAAGGTCAAGGGTTCAAGTCTTGTCGTTGCATTCCACCAACTTTTCATAAAATTTATGTAAACCAAAATTTTAATGCTAAAAATTCTACAAAAAGGAGGACTTCAACATGCAACCTCACAACACAAGAAACCTCATGAAACTTAAGACAATAACTTAATTTCAGTAAATACAACGGTAAACGTGGTTTTATATTAAATTACGACGGGGTCATGAAGCGATGACTCGTGCCACCATATGCCCCTATGTAGGTCTGCCCCTATATAAGAGGCCTCATATGCATCTTCTGTCGAGGGCTTAGAAGATGTCTTCCTCAGCTGGTCGATAGAGTCAGCCAAATGCTTTAGGGGACCTCCCCTTTTCTACTTGACGACCTCGTTGAGGGAAATGAGTTGTCTCCAACACGAGTACCATGCTACACATCAAAGGTAGCCTTCTTTTATGGAAATATTGTCGAAGGATCTGCCAATAATGATAGCCGTAGCCACCTTTTCATCTTACTCGTCACTATCCTTTTGGTTTTTTCTTTTATTGCACCGCTCATTTCATATTGGTGTATTTCATCAAATCATTCATAGCCATCTGTTTCTTATTTAGCTCATCAATGGCCTTCTAGTTCTTAAAAAAAAGGAATACATCCTTGGCAGCCACATTCTCATTAACAACATTAAGAATTAGTCTAGTCTTAATAGTCTTTTACTCATTACTATCCATGTTATCGAATTAATCAGCAACCAAATATAATTATGTTTTAGATATAAATACAATAATATCATTTACTGTCTTTCTATTTAAAACACTAAACACTATTATCGTCACCTTTTAAAAAACCCTAAATAAAATATTACATTTTATGGTCATTTCTATTCAAAAGGTTATGTTATTGATTAACAATGAAACCAGCAACACAACCCCTAAAATAAAATAAAAAACAAAAAAAAAACTTAAATGATAGGGTTTGTAAAAGAAAAAAGTTCAAGGGGGTAAAATTGAAATTCATATAAAGATGAGGGTGTTAATTTGAAAATATTAAGCATAGTGTTCATATTCCTGAATCGGGTACAGCTGTAAACAACGCATCAGTTGTTGACACCCAAAAACTAAAAAGAAAAAGAAGAATCGTTTTCAGACACGCATGTGGCTGATCACATCACTCTAACCGTTTCAATTGCAATTTTTATTATTAATTGTAAATATATTTTTGGAATTTTTTATATTATATTTTTATTATTAAAATATCAGTTTTTAATTGGTTTTAAAGATATGAATGCACGTAATATTTTCATTTTTTAAGTTTTAAATTCATTTTTTTAATAATATACTTTTTCCATTTAAATATTTTCTAAAATTATTAAATTTAAAATATTTCAGCTACAACTTTAACTTGTAGCTAAAAAGTATAAAAAATTGTTATATTTACGATTATTTATATTTATTTAATTTCCATTTGATTATTTAATAAATGCTAATTGCAAGACATGTGACAAAGGGTAAAATTACTTTTACAAGTCATTACAGAAAACTTGATTTGTAGATGTTTTTATATAACATTATTCAAAAATTTAATCTAAAAACAGTATTTATTTTTATACTTCTATTTAAAAATGTAATTTAGTGGTCATTTACTAAGGAGTTGTTTGGCGTTCCTGAATGGTTTAGTACAGAATGATTAAGTGGTTAGAATGATTAAGAGGCTATTATGATATAGTACAAAATGAAATATAATTACTTGACAATTGTTTACAATGAATTAGAGGCTGAATGGTTAATAGAGACCTATGATATAAAATCATTTAGAGAGTTTTAGAACCATTAAGAGACATATTTTTTTTTTGCCAAACAAGATTTACCATTTAACGATTTAGAGGTAGTCTCTTAATGAAATTATTAAAAAGTAAACAAACAACCCCTAAATGTTTATCTGATAAGCACTTATTAATATCGTTTTCCTTAATGATTGGTTAGAGTAATGACCGAAAATCTTACCTCGTAAAGTGCATGACAAGGATCTAGAGTCTTACTTAGTAAGTGATGTAAACAACTCTTATATGGTAGAGCGTTTACCTAGTTTAAGACGCTTATCAACAGTCCATTTTGATAGCCAACATCGTTACACGATAAGATAAGTGAGAGTGAAATACCACCTGTAACTAAGGGTGATATCTATTGTCGGTAAACGTGTTGTCCTAATATTTAAGGGCATTATCGAAATATTTTTCTCATAGACCCGAAACTCAAGATCTGTATGTGTTGTTGTTGTTCTGTCATTCAAAAATTTTATATATAGCAACTCATCCATACTTAGAAAGATATCCAATATCATAACATTTAGCATCATCCAATTCTAAACCAAAGTAAACAAGCATATGTCTCATTCGTAAGTCGGATCTAAGGTTTATATCAACTTTGTTTTTTGAAGATTCTGATAAGAATTGCTACTAAAAGCTTTGAGGGCCCTAATCATCCGTATATAATAACATTCTCATGTTAGATTTACATCCACTCAGTTTTGTACAATCACCTTCATATTTTCTTCTTCTGTGAAATACCGATTTTGGTTGTCGAACCTTTTTTTTATTAACCTGGATTTCCAACCCGTTATACGTGCCGACTAATCTTAGGACTACCATCTGCTTTGCGGGTAGCCTGGAGTCACCGCATGTGAACCTTTATGGCCACAAAGGGGATTTTTATTCCTTCTTGGATTTGAAAGTGCGACCTCCAGACACTTTTAACCTTTGCAGCTCAAGCTCAAACCAATCAGACACCAGTTTTGTCAAACCCTTAAAGCTAAAATATCTTAATGTCGTTCCTAGTCCAAAACATACACAATATTAACCACAAGGGTGGTGCCTGATTGGTTTGAGCTTGACTCCAAAGGTAAAAAGTGTCTGGAGGTCTCAGGTTCAAACCCAAGGAAGAACAAAAATCCCCTTGTGGCCACGAAAGTTCAAATATGGTAACTCCGAACTACCTACAAAGCAGGTGGTTACCCTAGAATTAGTCGAATCGAATAACGTGTTGGATATCCAGGTTAATAAAAAAACATACACAATATCAACAACAAAGTTAGTTACAAATATAAAATCATGAAAATTCAATAATTGGTCTATTTGCTTTGTTATTTAGGATATGAAAACATTAAACTTCAATAGTAAACTTCATATGCATATAGGGAGGGGATTGTGTTCCCATTATTTTTTTCAAACCATAGCACCATTTAACTATAAAAAAATAATGATGATATTTTTCATAAAAATCATCATTTATTTGTTGGTTAGTTCATTGTTTTTCATTTGTGAGGTCTTATGTCTAAATATTTTATTATTACAACTTCTTTTAGAAACATAATAAATCCGAAAT